TTTTTTTTTAACTTAGATCAGTGACGAAAGTGGTTTATATCATCGTTGTTTCCGTTATCCATTTCTACTTTCAGTTTTCTTGGTAGTTATTTTTAAGAGTGATTTGGAAGTTACAAATTTTGGAGATTGAGGCACTGTTGTTGTTTCTAAGTATTATATGAAAGTTACAAATTCTGGATTTGTTCAGCATTTTGCCAGTTCGGAAGCTAATTATGATGTTGAGTTTATGAGTGGTTGAATATCATATAAACTAATGTGTGATGTAGAGGTAGGGCAATATTTTTCTGTTTTGGAGGAAAGATTACAATTGGACAATTTTCAGAACAAAGATTCTGCAAAACATGATTGGAGTGTAAAGTTGGAGTATAAGAGTCACTTGGTGCATATGCTGTAGGCTGTGCCATCAGAAATTTACTGAGATTATTGCCTCGTTTATTAGCAATTTCATCTTTTAGAAACATATGATCAAATGGCAATGATTATCCTTACTTCATGTTGCCACTTTTATCTCCTTATCTTGCTTTATTAATCTTAATCAAACTTATGAATCATAATTATTTCTCCTTTTCAGGCCTTATGGAGATGTTAGTCCCAAGAGAGGATTTATTCATGGAAGCCATGAACCTGTCTAAGAGTGACACAGATGTTGAGACAGATCATGAAATTTCTGCTACGGAGCTGAATTGTCGAGGTACCTTTAGTCTGACAATGTTATTCTTTTTTACTTCTCTTTTCATTGATGCAGCATTAGCAATACACATTTATTTCATGCTTAGTGACAGAGTTGTGAGAGTTGTTAAGATTGCAATTGGAAGCTTTCCCTCAATTTGAGGGAAAATTTGACCATTCAATGTAACCTAAATCCTTCCATATTTTTCAATCACAAATCTATTATCTTGCTAGTGCCAAGATATTAGAAACGTGGGAGATCTCGAATTCCAACTTTTAAAGAAATTCAAGTTATCAGGATTTAGTTTTTTCCTTTCTATTTTTAGAAAATGACTGAACTCCGTGAATAGGAATTGAGCTGCTTATATTGAATGTGAAGCTATCAGGATTATGTGCTTTGCTGAAGTTGATGACTAGTTCTGTTTTCATGATTTCCACTGTTTATATTAAACTTCAAAAAATATTTTATCAACTACATGTTAGGTTTATCGGGGACGGCTGTCTAGCAATGCCAGATATATATTCAAGTTGCTTGTGAAAACAAGCCATAGGAACACATGATGTGTGTGAATGACTTGAGAATTTGCACTGTGTGTTCATTTCTAGCATATGAAGTGAAATGTATTTGTTCTTTTTGTGGTGATGAAGGTTGTATATTGGTGAGTGTCTTAGTTTCTTGGTGGTTGTTTCTACTCTAATATATTTAACTTAGAGGTTAAAAAAAGGTGCAAACTATGAAAACTTTCTAATGTATTGGTGTGTAATCAAAGATTGCTACAACAAAACAGATGAGGTTTCTTTGGTGCACAGAGGACCAACAGTGAACACTTCGGAAGCTAGTTGTGCTGGAAATTCTCATGGTAATATTGTATCCAGTTTATAACCTTCTTTGGTGTTAGAGTTCTAGCCTGTAATTATTGGTAGAGTAGTCTACAAAGTGAAGCACTCTCAGAGACTGTTGGCCATATAATTCCATACATGCAACTATGTAGCCATGTGAATAAAAATAATAAATAAATAAATAAGGAGGGGACAACCTCGCTTGAAATGCAGGCTCTGACTTCCCCAGTGGTCTGTTTTTCATAAGTGAACACGTCTTTCTGGATGTGGCCAAACCCTGTGATTGGGGTTGTTCCTGGTTCCTGGGGTAACTCTGTTGGAACTTGCAATGAAAAACTGTAGGTGATAAAATATTATAGTTTACAAGCAGGAAGCATCTCAGTACTTGGTTCTGTAATCCCAAAGAGACACATAGATGCATTTGTAATATTAGATGATAGATTGACCACTGATGTTGTTGTGAACTTGTGATGACTCTAAATGATGATTATCCTTACAAGCTGCAAAATGTGTAGGACATAGAAGCTGCAATTATAAATGGTCTGGATAATAAGCTAGCGAGTCATGGTTTTGATTTGACTCTTAGGTATTCACACAAGATATAAGAACAGTGAAAGGAGAATGGTCCCAATGCCTTGATTTATGGGACTAAATAGCGAATTTGATGTAATTATTGATGAATATTTATTATGCATCGGAGAAATGTTGCATTTTTGTCATTGTAATTCTATATTTCTATGTGGTATCATGAAAGTTAGGTCTGTTTAGAAGTGTTTTCCTCTTCTTCAGTTTTCTCTCTTTGGTGTTATGCATCAAAACCGACCTTCTGTTTCTTTCTTAAAAGATGATCTTTTCATTTATTTGCCTTTTATCACTCTAATTTTTTTGCTGGTTTTCCTTTTCTGGAACTATTGGATCGTGATTGAATAAAGAGTTTCAATAGGATATATCTAAGTGATGTAACATTTATTTGCTGATACTTCTGTATATTTCCATCTTTTAGGAGAACGGCAAGATAAGGGAACATCCACCTCACATATTCATAGCCAGCAAAAGTTTCAGAATCAATCCCAAAAGTTGCGCTCAGGTCAGCACTTTTACTTGTGGTTTTGTGCAAAAGGTTTATAATTGTTCATATTTCCTGGAGTTTTTTCTTCTTGGACAACTGATATGTTTATTTTTCTCATTCAAGTTTCGGTCTGAAAAGATAGCGAGCACCTGTTCTTAGGGTCTCGGATATAATTTCTTGTTTTCTCGTAGTATCTCAGCTTTAATTTTCCTGACAGTATGGGATTCTGAGTTTTATATTTATAGGGTTGGCCTTTTACAATTCTACTGTGAAGACTGAAAACCCAGAAAGCCAAACCAAGATTTCCAAGAAACATGCTTTCCCAAAGAGTTCAACTCTTATGAAACCAACAGCAAGTCAGCTAGCCAAGCAAAATCGTCCTTTCCAAGCTATCAATTCTAGGTAACTATCAGTATTTTTATTTGCATTGTAACATACTTGTGATGTTTCTATTCCCAGTAGTGATGAAATACACCATTATTTTCTGTTGCCGCGAGTAAAAACTAGAAATTGCTGATCACATTGTTAATTTCCTTTAATGAAAAGAACATATAAATTATCAAGGCCTTGAAAATCAGTTTAGAATTTTAATATTTTGCAATAATATGAAGGAACCATCACCTGATATATATGTATGCTTAATTAAGCTTTTTGTTACTTCAAATGCTAGGTCACGTGTGGCTGTATTGGATAGAACCTCTAAAAATGGAGCTAATACGTGTGTGGTTGAGAATCAAGCTGCAAAAAGACAAAAGCTTGAGGGTGGTCTCCTGCGGAAGGTATAGAATATTTTCTTCATGTTTATTTATCACTTTCTACTTTCTTTTTTTTATTACCATTCTTTTGTGAGCCTTGTTCTGGAATGGAACTTTGACACGATGTCATTAATTGATTAGAATATAATAATTGACAATTTTTTTGGTGAATGGCTCTAAATTTTCCGTCTTAACAACAAAGTTATTGTTATGACTTAAGAGCATATGGGACAGAATAGGTACCCTATCTCACAGCAGCATCTGTGATTTAGTAGCACAGTGAGCTTGGATTTCTGTAGCTCTTGTAATTTCCATTCTTTTTTGGTACAATAAAGGAGTTGTAATTTCCATTCTTTAAACATTCTTATGTCCGAATGGCATAACTTCTTACTGGTGACTACATATAAAGTAACTTGTCTTCAATTTTTAGCTAAAAAAATGTCTATAATATGTAATTTTATTTCCTGTTTTACCATTTGTCGGAAGTTTATATACCTCTACATCACAGGTTATGGGTACAGCACAGCTGCAACAGACTAATTTTGTTCACAAGGCATCCAAGAGGGTACACTAATTATTTACAAAACTCATGATCCTATCAACCATTTTTTCATGCACTTTTTAAGTTATTAATGCCACTACTGTGAATCAAATAAAAAAGGCTTTTAATTTGGCAGGATGAACTCCTGCATGGTAACATAACTCACACTAAGCCAAGGATCACTATTCCAAGAGACCCGGATCTTGAAACCACACACAGGGCGCAAAGGACTAGGTAGGTGTGATCCACTCTAGCATGGCTCTGTTAGTATATTTGCAGCATATTGTTTGTGCACAAGGAAAAATCACCATTAGTGATTTTGAATGTGTTGCTTGTTTGTTGAGTTTCAGGGAGAAAAGTAATATAGATGAAAATTTGACAACAACGTTTCGCAGATTTAAAGCTCTACCACTGAACAGAAAAGTTAGTGTCAAACTTGTGCATCGTTAAGTTATTGTATGGTGTTCAGATCTAAGTCTTGTAATCTCTGGCAGATTCTTGAAGCACCTTCATTGCTTCCGAAGAGAAGAACTCCTCGTTTACCAGATTTTCAAGTGAGTTCAGTTGGAAATTCATATCTGGGGAACTTTCACTTATGTTAATTTTGTGTTATCATATATACCTTTTGGTAATTTTGGTTCCAGGAATTTCACTTAAAGACATCAGAGAGGGCTCTGCAACATAGCTCAGGAATTTTGAAGTCCACAGCTCCTTTGCATGATTCTAACAAGGTAGTTTATGAAGCGCTGGCACATGATATTCTTGAGGTTTATATATTTGTGTATGTGATACTCTAGTTAATTTTTCCCTAACAATTCATTGTACCAACAGTGATAAAACTAAATTACTAGTATTGCTTTCTCAACTGTTTGTTGTTCTGCTGTAGTTGACCGGGGTTTGGATTTTAGATTCACTTTAATCCAGTATGCCTTTTGCGTTAACTATAGTTGATCCATGTGGATGTTAACTTGTTCTCTTTTTATATCATGGCAGGACTTAAACAAGTTCACGACTAACTTAACTACAGATTATGGAAGCAGAGATCCTGGAAGGTAATATTTTGATGGGCTGTTGAGTTCATCATGAAATTATTTCCAGTTCTAGCTTCATTCTGATGTACCCCTTATACAACTATATGATGCAATGCTTTTGATCCCTCTACTCTTTGGCCCAAAACATGCATTCTTAAATTTTCCTGCTTCTGATTCATATGTAACTGTGTGCATTCTGTTGGGTAATTTGAAATGTTTTCTGTTGTCTTGGCTTTTCTTATCGCTGACAAGAAATTTTAATTATATATATTTTTTTTTTGGCTTATTTGTAATTGCATATTTCAGGAAGACAGTTGGACCCTTTCTCTTCTTAACATTTTTCTTTTACCTAACTTATAATGCTTTCTTTTTGTCAGGCCAAGCATGATTTGTAGTAATGCTTCAAATCCAGATGGCTGCCAGTCATCTCGAAGCTTCAAAGCTCTTCCCCTCAATAAGAAGGTAGCATTTCAACCTTTATCCGGTTTCATTTTTATGCCAACTTTGTCAAAATGACCCATTGTGTTTTAATGTAGATACTATCGAGCAAGGGAGACATTGGAATTTTCCGGAACTGGAAAAAGGAATCCACAGTGCCAATGGTAGTTGATACTAAAATTTATCTGTAATTTCGTGTACTGTATGTTGTGAAAACATCACAGTTATCTATATTGTTTAACAGGAATTCAATTTCCAAACTGATAAGAGATTTCATAATAATCCTCCAATCGAGCTATTCAACAAGGTATAATTCTGTCTGCTTAGATTACTTGATATGCTGCTTCCAATCTCATTCACATGCATCTATGTTTGTTATGCTTATAATGCTCTTATAGATAGTATCATTCAAAGAAACTGCATCTTGTGATGCGCTGATTTATCTTTCTTTCTTTTGCTCGACTAGCTCTCTTTGGCGTGTGAATCACAACCCGAACCCAAGGCACCTTGGTCCATGAGTACACCAGCAAAGGTTCCTCCTGATTCTTTCTATCATATATTATATCAGGCTGTTGTAGGTGCTTATCTTGAATAAATTGATTTCTTTAAGGGGCCAAAAGAGAACAGCTGGGGCAGCTTCCAGCAAGGATATCAGGTGATGGATTGTGATAGTAAATGAAGACTGGTCGAAACAGAACTCACTTATTATGTTACAGTGACACAATTTTCCTTTTTTTTTTTAACTTACTGTAGATAAAAAACCCTGCAAAACCGAAACTGCCTTTGTTTGGAGCAACGCAGAAACTCAACACCATTGAGGAAAAAATTGAAGTCAGCTTTGTTAACTGGTAATGGGTTAACCCTTATTGTGTAGATTCTGATGTATTGCTGTTTGTGTAGAATCTGATATATTGCTGTTTGTTTCAGGAGCAAGCCCATCCGGTAAAGTTTACAAGATGAAGGTGTCAATGATTTGTTGATGAATACCATCAAAGGATCTTCTTTTGCCATTTTGTCGAGGCTGGCAATGTTGTCGCAGGGAATCGACACAGTACATAAAAAGCTGCTCATAATTTTCGGGATATCTTAGGAGGAATCTTGAATCCCTCGAGTTTATAATCATAGAAGTCATTATGATTATCAGTGAATGCCGAATGCAAATTGTTTGTCAAAGGTATGTTCTGTTCATCAATAAATAATTGTATGTTAACTGTATAGCGAGAACACCGTTTCCTGTACGAAACGTATCATGCTTGGAATGGATTTTTTTTCCCGCGCCAGCCTGTGTGTTGGTGATAGTCGTTTGTGTAAAATCCTAAGTATTTATAATTGATGCCATCTTTGTGTGCCGATGGACATCAAGGAGTGTTTTTATGGAAAAAGGTGGCGAAATGAAAATGAAAAACAACATGCCTTCTGTTAAGGCATGTCTTAAGTCCAGACACAATCGGCTCTACAGAGCTCATCTCAAGTAACTATTGATTCTGTCTACTATAGGGTTGGGGCCGTTGGGCAGCTTGGTTCATTTAGTGAGATGAGTGAAATAGATCAAATAATGAGATGGGATCAAAATTTGATTACAACCAGTAAAATGAGGGCACGAGTAAAGAAGACCAAATGAGAGCTCAAAAGTAACTAGGGAGCAAATGTAAATGGGTTTCAACAAGAGAACAATAAATTCTATGCATGCTAGTGTACATCCATTTTTCTTATTGACAAAGTTCTAATATAAAGGGGTATATATGTAAGATTAAGATTACACTTGTCCATTGAATTCACTTTAATAGTGAAATAGACTTAAAAATGCAAAAACTCAACGCACGGAGGGGTCTCGGCGTCAAGTTTCGGATGCTTAAGTCAACACTTGCCAGAGATGAAGTGCAATATGAGAGTATATAATAGTGAATGTAGAGAATGCTTTTTTGGTATTCCTTAGGCCTCCTTTACTGGGGAGGTGTAACTTAGTACTCAAGTTGGGCTCACCCAGTCAGCACTTGAATTTTACCAGGAAAAGTTTTTGTCCAGACGGGCGCCTTGCACGCGCAATCTTTTGTGACCCACCAACAGCCCCGAGCGATCCACGCGCAGTCCCAGCGCGACTCGTGTGCAGGCAGCCCGCGCGCAGCCTCGTCCCACGTGACCCCGTTCAGTGTCCTCGTGCCTAGCACGCCATTCCACGACCGGACGATGTCCGACCATGCATCCCGTGAGCCAACCCACGATCGAGCCCTGGCCCGTAATCGTGCGACCTAGTCCACGCGTGCACCCATGTTACGCGCCACGTGCACTGTATCCGAGCCACACAGAGCCACTGGGTGAACTATTGAGCCCTGGCGCACCCGAACCGTCGACAATATTTTCTGGTTGTCGGTGACATTTTTCGGCGACCGACAACTTTCTCGCCAAATTTTTCCTGTGAACCTTCTATTCTAGTGCTCGTTTTCCGGCCGCCGTCGACATTTTTCGGCCGAAAACGACTTTTTTGATCTCCCTGGGCTGTTTTGAGCCGTTAGAGCTGTCGGAAATCTTATTTTGCGGCGATTCCACCTCATACACCCATTTTTCTCGGATTTTTCTCTCTCATGGTGTTTTGTCAAGGTTCATTGCCCGATTTTCCCTACTCTTGGCACCGAGATCACCATATTTGACGGTATTTAACTTGGACCAATTTGAGCCATTTGTATATGAATTGCGCATGCTTTTATTGATTCGAGAGTGATGTATAGTAAGTTAATAATATTACGTTTCATTAAAAATATTGACCATATATATCTATATATACATATATATTTTTTAAATAAAATATGTAATAACCGGGTGAAACCGGATTGACGTCGAGTCAATGACCACTGGGTCGATAGTTAATGGGTCGCAATGACCCACCCAGAGTGATCTCGGCTCCAGATTGGCCTGATCTTGGACTCTTGGGCCATCCACCGAGCCGGTCGGGAAAAAAAAACTATGTGTGAAATGAGAGCTAAACTGAAAGAGCTTCGAGCATTTAAGTAAAAAAAAAAAATAAGCCACTGTAAAGTTGAACAAGTGTACGATATAAAAAAGGGTAATCTACTTCTTAGTTACATCCTCACAAGGATAAATTAAGTTTATTCATGCTTGACCTACACCAAGAAGAATGTAGCTCCATTCTTTCTTATTGAACGAGAGGTAACATATAAAAGGGTACGTAATGTAAGATTAATGCACTGGCCTAGTCAAGTTCACTGCTATAACACTCCTGACCGTATGCTTCATTGATTCCCAGAGCAAGAAACCTTGGGTAACTATTGAACTGTTTCTCCATATAATCATGGTGTTAGACCGCGAGAACGTCACTTGATACGTTGCTTTCTGGTTCAACCTCGTAAAATACAGCTTACATGGCTTCACCACAATGTTCACAAACGGTGGCGCGAAAATCTTCACAGAATAACTTGCGACTGTCTCACCGACGTTAGTGACCGTCCTCGAAAATGTTGTGTTCGACCGACCAAGCAAAACCGAGAACGTGGGGTAGTTGAGCTGTCCTTGTTTAATTCTGGTCGTGCAGTCGACCGGTTCTTGCGTGATTATTTCAACTTGTTCTTTCGTGTAGCCCAAGCCACATATGTACGCGATGTAGTCGTCCATTTCAATGTCGTAGACTAGACCAGGATCGATCGCCCTAGACAGGTTGACGTGTCCAGCGCCCACCGCTAAAATGTCGGCTGGAGTAAGCTTCTCGTCGAGAATTGGCCGGCCTTGGGCATTCACAAGATCAGCCGTCGTCATAATTGCTGATTTTATGGCTGCCGGCGACCAATTGGGGTGGGCACTTTTGACCAGAGCTGCTATGCCGCTGAGGTGGGGGCACGACATTGATGTGCCCGAGAAGATTTTGTAAATGACCCCCAGATTATCCGGGGGCCCCAAAGGCGACCACGCTGCCAGAATGTTTTCGCCCGGTCCAATGATGTCCGGTTTCAAGATACCGGGGGTTTGTTTGCTGGGCCCTCTCGACGAATAGTAAGAAACCGCCGGAGCAAACGGCCCCCCAAGTACCGTCCCCTTGAATAAGATGGTTGTGGTAGGATATGATTCCGATTCCACGTAGGCCTTTATTTTTAGACCCGCGGCATACGACACTGTTGTGGCCGGAAGAACAAGAGCGTACGACTGATGGCTAAACTGTTGAGCTTCATCGTTGGCAAGTATCATGGCTGCACCGCCCGCCTTTTTCACTTCTTTGCCTTGATCCACCGGGTAGATTCGTAGAGACCCGTCGCACAATACCACCTTCCCCCGAACGTCGATTCCAGCCAACGAACCGTTGTAACAATATTGTCTCCCGTCGGGGCCCGCGCGGTAGACGACGCGCAGGAGCGCTCCGGGGAAATTCTTCGGCTGGAATACGGATTCACCGTCGAACTCCCGCCCGTTTCCCAATCTCGCGGAGGCCAGAATCCTTCTGTCGATCGTGCTCGACCCGACGGTGAGCATCCACGGCGCTTCGTTAAGCATCGTACGCTCGGCAGGACCGTCGTTCCCGGCCGCGGAGCTCACGAGTATCCCCTTTTTAGCTGCGTTGTAAGCGCCTAGCGCTAAGATGTTTTTGTAAAACGGCTTGGACGATCCGAGGGATAGCGACAGGATGTCGACCCCGTCGTCGATGGCGGCTTCCATGGCGGCTAGAATGTTGCTCTCGAGACAGTCGTTGTTGAAGCACGCTTTGTATATCGCCAGGTGTGCGTTTGGGGCCATCCCGGCCGCCGTCCCGTACGCTTGCCCAAAAACATTTGCGTTCGGTACGAACCCGCCGGCGGCGGTGCTGGCCGTGTGTGTTCCGTGGCCCGTGTAGTCTACCGGGTTCGACTCGTTGTATGTGGAGAAGTCGCTGCCCGCGCTGAACGAGCGTGCGGCTATGATTTTGCGGGTGCACGATACGGGTGGTTCGCACGCCCCGTTCCACGTGGGGGGTGGACAGGGCATGTCGTGGTCGCTGAACGAAGGGTGGGTCGGGAAAATCCCGGTGTCGACAACGCCGATGATGATTCCTCGGCCGAGTCCGGTTTGCTTCCAGACTCCGGCACGTGGGTTGAGCCCGAGGAATTGAGGGGAGCGGGTGGTTAAGGGATGGTATACGGTTTGGACATGGGCTGAAATGAAAGCGTCGTTGGCCTTCTTCATGGCCTTGACTTGTTGAGAGGTTAGTCTTGCGGAGAAGCCACTGATGACATGTTTGTACGAGTAAATCAATGAATTGTTGGGTACTGTGGGAGGGAGAAAGGAGTAGTGGTAGCTTGTCAAGGGATTATCATCGTCCACTTTATTAGGCTTCTTGACGTGGACAATGTATGTTTTCAGTTGGGAATTGACAAGAGAGAGGAGAGGAAAGAGGGATGATAGTATGAGGAGGTTGTGGAATAATAATGTTTGAAGAGCCATGTGATATGTGGATTGATTGATTGTGTATAGTAAATAGTGTAGTGTTGTTCTGGTTGTGTGCGGGCTGATGATGATAATCAAGTGGATAATTTATACTAAAGAAGTTGGAGATGTACCCTCGTTACGGAGTCATTCTGTCGGGATTTATAACCGTTATGTCAACTATCTCTAACGGTTACTTGATGATTCAACGGTTACAAATGATTTCGTAACGGGACAGGTGAAGAGTGAAAACGATGGCCCAAATTAATTCGAGCATTTGTCTGTCTTTTTCTTTTTCTTCTTTTATTTATTAAAAGTTAAGATATTTTTGATTTATATTCTTTTTTTTTTGGTACAGGGACCTTCCGATTTCTGGATCCACAGGGGAACCGACTAATCCGGAATCGAGCCGAGTTTAGAATATAACTTTTTGCTTTATATTCTAACACATGTCAGCCATTTATTTGTACAAAAAATGCGGAATTATTAGAATTATTATTAATTAAACTAGAGTTGTCAGTTGTCAAAATAGATCTTTTGACATAAGGTAGTATTTTTTTATTTATTTTTTTACCGGAACTATAGAACATAAGGTAGTGATTGATTGGAAATATTTAAAATAAAATATTAAAATTGATTTGATGTAAAAGTATGAGATAAATGATTGGAAATGATTGAAAATGATAGGTAGTTAAAATTATGTGAGTGAATGAATAATGAATTAAGGTTGATGTGATGCGTAAGAATGATTAATTTGTATTATTTAACTATATGAATAATA